ACAGGAGTGTGAACGCTGTTACAAGAGCACACCAACTGCTCAGCCAGAGCACATGTTCAAAGCAAGCTCCTCTGTTCACCACCAGCTCCAGAAAAATGGTTCACCCGATTCGAATGTTTTAAGCAGGTGACTGGTTGCCCCTTTTTGAAACCTAAAAACTTTTAAAGAGAGAGAAAACAAAAATGTGTCATCACAGAATAGCCCACTGATCATTTCTATCACTTTTGGACCATAGAGTATAAGAACTAACTCTAAGAGACATGGCTGAATCTTAATTTCCACAAATGATGGTGATGCAGCCTTTTCAGCAGTTTTGTGGTTGGATGGTCTTCAATCTGAAAAGTATTTCTGATGTGAAAATCAGGGTTTTTCCTGCGTTCAAATTTGCATGGCGGCCGCCTCCAGCTAATTTAGTGCTGTCCCAGCCTAATTTCACTCTGCCCCCAGCTATATTGATGTTATTTTAACTGCATTTGTAGCGTTGCACCACTACAGGGGTGCTGTATCAGCAGCGGTGCACCGAAAAGCGCTAAAACCACTTCAGAAAAAGAATATGAAATATTGCTTTTCTCGCTAGTTGGTACGGCTATGGTTCGGTGCTATTGACGTCCTGATTTTCCCCCAGGCTCTTCCATATATATATCAGAGCAGGGCTGTACAGTGCGACGATGAAAACTGTCTGTGCGTCTCTGTCTATTTTTAAACGTATCACCGGTGCTACATCTTTGAATTACTATTTTCCCCAGAACTTAATTGAACCAAAGTAAGTTACGTGTAAGAAAAACGCTTTTTACTGGCGCACAGTGTGGTCATCTGGCAGCAGTGGAGGAAAATAAAAGAAACGGCAAAGGCACAAAGGCTGAACCGGTCCAAAGTTTGGGATCAAAAGTGCAGCTACACACAGATTGGCTAATGCTAAAGCTAACGGGTAGCAGTCTCACGAGCAAGTGGCGCACAGAAAAATATATGATGATCGTAAAACTAACCCCCAAATTCCACTACCTCCGCTCCGGTCCGCCCCCGCCTTCCGCAGCCGCTCGCTTTCGAACTCAATTTTTACTGGTACCCGCTCTACAACGGCTCCGCTCCGGTGCGGAGACCTGAGGTGGGCAAACAAGCATGCGCAGGATTTTCGAGATCTTGCGATACAGTCCGAGCAATAAACGTGGAAGTTAGATCCAAACACCCGTTGTGTGGGAGAAGCATCGGCATGAGCTGTTTAATCTGCCCATCATTTGTGTTGAGAGATCAGCAGTGTTTGGATCAACAAAGTGTGACTACTTTGATAGTAGAAACTGTATTTATGGCTTACTTTTGTGCATTTAAAGTTCAGCCGCCATTGATAGTTGTTAAAAGTTGTTAAACCTGTGCATATGAAACAAAAAACGCCTTTTGTTTATCGATTTATTGTGAAAAACGGAAATTGTGCTTGCTCCTTTTCCTGTTGGGCCGTTGTGATTTCTGTCCATTTACTGCGGAGGTGCTCCGGCGTCCGGCGAAAATAGGATCGATTCTATTTTTGCCGGACGCCGGAACAGAGGGCGGCGCACGGCGCCGCACTGCCAGAGCACGGCCGCAGTAGTGGAATTGCTCTGATTGACTACAACGGGACCGATTTTGCTCCGGCATTCGTGCCGGAGCGGAGCGGAGGTAGTGGAATTTGGGGGTAAGAGACTAAACTCTACAAGCGGATGAAAAGTCCCCACCATCCTGTTAATTCTGCATCCTGCAGCGCTATGGATCAGAACTGCTACAGATACGAGTCACATTACTGCTACAAGTCTGCTCCACACACAGGAGCAGGAAGTATGGCAAGCTGTTGTAGTATATAATTCACAAACGCTTCTATCTTTGAACATAATTTAAACTGGATTATTGCCAACCCGTACTTAATATACATGCCACCATTACATTGTTAGCAGCAGAAATTAAATGTTATTACCATTTTCAATACAAATGCACGTTAATGAAATGCATTATATTTTACTGGATATATTTATGTGTTGTTTTGACTAAGATGAGTGTTATTAATACAAACCTAAAATGTTACTGAAATGCAGGTCAAATACTTAAAGGGACTTTACAGAGTTTTGAATTTTTATGCTCGCGATTGCCCCCTCAGGCCAAAAGTGTAACGGCAGCTTCAGTAGTAGGCTCGTGCATGAGGCGCGCATGCTGTACGTGCACACTCCTTAAGGAAAATAACAGCTGAGACAGGCCCTCAGTGGAATATTCAATTAATCAACAGAAGCTTAGATTATAACACTTAATGAAAAATTATTTTGCCTTTAAAAAAGTGAGGCAGTTGAATGTACAGAGTATGCATGTGCTGGCGCACGGTCAGGATGGTACCACCTCTGCCTCAGTTTGAGCCAGGAAAAACCCAGGTGAAAATATATCATGTATGTAAAGAACAGGTTAATTCCATGAGGGTATTTCTTAGTTTATTTTATGTTGTTACAAATAAACAGAAGATTGCAAAAACCCACTGAAATGCCCGATGTTGACCCCTAGTGGCAAATATTCGTTACAGCTTGCCGAAGACGCACTTTTCCACACGTTACAGAGGCAACGTGCTATTCCCAGCGCTTCTCAGATGTTGATGTATGACGTTGTTCTCCTTAGGCTGGTAATCCATGGCAGAAATCACTCTCCATAGTGGTCCAGTGACTCCAAGTCACTGGCGTAGCCAGTCAGCACAGCGCACACTCTGCTATTTTTGTGTCAGTAGGTCCAGTTTATCTGCTTAGTTCAAGAGTAACTCATGTGGTGATCAAGGAGGAGGCAGACAGCAGCTTTTCTGGAGGACAGAGGAGATGCAGAAAATTCAGAGACAGACACGACAGGAAAATAGGAAAATAAAAACCACGAAAACAAAACAGTCATTGAAAAGTCAAATGTAGGTAGATTTATGCCACTACATGTTTAACGTTTTTAAAGCAATAATTTACCAGCATGTAATGTTTATATATTTGATACAATTCTGATAGCCTTCAAAACTCAGTCCCACACCCAGGGCCGTATCAAGGCCTTTTGGGGGCTGAGGCAAAATAGACCCCTGCCTGGTATTTTAAGTTAAGGTGCTATTTGTTTATTATGAGACTTTTTGTATAAAGTGTAAAAGTGAAGAATTTATATATTACTTGATTGTTCACGTTATCTCACAGAAGTGATCTGTTTGTTAACAGAGTTGTTAAATTTCAAAATAAAGTTAATTAAATAAAGAATGAGGAACACTCTGGATCTGTTTCTTCACTTTCTGTATTCTTTTTTTATGTATCGAAAGTATCGGATCTGGACGCTGTATTGGCAGATTCTCAAAATCAAATGACTCAGACTCGAGGGCAAAAAACCTGATTGGGACATCTCTACAGGATTAACTAGGCATGCTCCAATCAGGTTTTTGCTTCCGATCACCAATACTGATTTCCAAGAGTGCTGAACACCGATACCAATCACATGGATTGGCCATACATTTTCTATGACGTTTTAATGAGTGCTACAGGGCACATGATCCGGGAATAAAAGAACAATAACATCACCTTAAAGGGCCTGTATTAATTTAGACAACATTTTTTTTTACTTTTTAAAGAGAAAAAAATGACTTGCAGCACAATCAGTGTGTTTGTTTTTGACCACAATTTCTAAGCCTCCTGCTCACAACCCAGGGTTCAGAGCTGAAAATGTCTCTTGGATGAGAGGTTAAATGTTTTCAAGATAACCAGGATGTGTTGTGGTACTTGTCTGTGTATTGTGGCTGGTACTTGTCTGTGTATTGTGGTACTTGTCTGTGTATTGTGGTACTTGTCTGTGCATTGTGGTACTTGTCTGTGTATTGTGGTACTTGTCTGTGCGTTGAGGTACTTGTGTTGAGGTACTTGTCTGTGCATTGTGGCTGGTACTTGTCTGTGTAACTCTGTTCAACAAACCCCAGATCAGAATTCTCACTGGAATGTTAATTGATGCTTGTTTACTTGAATTGTCTTTTAATGTAGTCACTTTAAGTGTTTTAAGTCTGGTGATTTATACACTCACAATAAATGTGACTGAACCCCAGCTTTGGACTAAAGCAATGAAACAATGACAGGTAGAACTCAATGTCCTTAGAATTTCACTACAATAGGGTTCTTCGTGTGATACTGCAGGTTGTGAAAGCCTGAGCAGAGTTCAGCTCTTTGTACTGCTTCATATTATGAAGTGAATTGTCTTCGGTCATGAATAAAACAAAAAAGGTCTTTGGTTTCTGATCCAGTTAGCTTCAGCACATTCACTGACCTACATGTTAGACTCTGAGGAAATTGGTGAAGTGTAAAAGGTCAAACACGATCACCAGCCTGAAGGTGTTTGGTTAGTAGGGTAGAAAACCTTTTAATCATGCTTCAGATCATTAAACCTTATTATCCCCACCTTCTGCTGTACTAAGGCTGTGTAATTAATCAAATTTGTAAGTACATTTTATTTATGTAGCACTTATCACAGACATGGAATCACAAAGTGCTTCTCAAAGATCAAAACAAAATAAAACAGTCATAAAATCATCATGATGTCAAAACTGAAATAGATTAACATCAGAAAAAATTATGAAATGGGTGGTGGTTTAGAGTCATATAAAAAAACAAGGGCATGCCAGTGCTGGGAAAAAAGTACACTTCCCCAGGGTTTCCCCCAGAAAATGAGTTAAGTCTGGCGGCTTTGGTCGTGGGGGGGGCATCCCGCAGCACTCCTCTGTGAGGGCGGGGGTGGGGGTGGCGTAGTTGCACACGTTCCGCTGCTGTTTCTCACCAGTATCTGCTGATGGAGGGCTCTAGCCGCCAGGCTTATAAAGCGCTGGGGGAAACCCTGCTTCCCCATATTTTTGGTTTTCTGACCCCACACACAATCTATGTGTGTTTGCGTGTGACTGAGCTGAATGTGGTATGAATTTTTATGTAGAATTAAAAGCTCTACTATATTGTCGACTTTTGTGGTGACTTTGTCTTTGTTTCTGCTTCTTGTCACAGGTTTAAGAAGTCACAAATCGATTGAGGATAGACCTGTTGCTCTTGTTTTGCCTCAGATCATCATCACAATTGTTTAATGAGTAAGGTTGAGAACCAGGAAGTTGAGATGGACTGTGAAAACTACTGAAACAGAAAGAAAGTCCTTTAAAGAACAGCCATGTCTCAGCCAGGGAAAGTCCTCCACCTGTACATGGAGGTGAGGGCTGTTTCTGAGGATGATGGGAAGTTGCCGAGTCAAGGAGATAATGGGACTAATCAGTTGATGCTACAGTGTTCAGAAGTCCTCACAAACACTCAGAGAAACTCATTCCACTCCTGTCCTAACCACAGACCAAATCTTTCCCCGGTGATGACCTGTCATTCAGGAAGCAGAAAACACAGCTTACCTCCCTCAAATTTGTCCTCAAGGCAATCAGTTAGCTTTCAACATCAAACCCCTCAAACTTCAGGGTCTCCATCCCATTTCCAGCAGCAAGATGTGTTGTACGATGGCTTTGGTCAATTACTTGAAGCCTTAGCTCCCAGTGCATCCAATTCCAGTCATCAAGGCTCAGATAGATGCACTACTTCCCCTGAAATGGATGTCTACCATGGAAAGGCTCCTATATCTCAATCTTCCTCATCCTGCCGTTGGCTGACGGTCCCCTCTCCAACCAACAGCAACTGCAGCTTTTATGAGGACCCAGAGATGGTTGACGAGAAGGGGAGGACATCAGTGGTTTCCTTTGGGTACATAGAGAAAGGCAGTGTCAGCAGCATGGCTAGACAGCACAATGACACTAGCAGATTTGAGGGGCTACCTGCTCATCTACAGAAAAGGATGAGTGATCCAGTGTCATACAATAATGGTCCAACAATTGATGAAAATTTCAATCATCACCCCCACCAATCCAGAACAGATACCCCTAGAGGCTCACCTTATTTATCAAGGGCCACCATGGATGCAGTTGCTAGAAATGCCACCCACCGAGCCTTGGAGGAGTTTGGATCTCCGGAACTTAGGCGAAGATTTACAGGTCACAGTTCACAGAGCTGCAGTCCAACTTTACCTCACCACTCTCAATCTTCTCACTGCCGGTCGTGGGGTGGATCACCCGTCCCACCTTGCAGCACTCACACTCTGCCATCTAAGACTGAACTCTTACAAGTGAACAGAAATGTATGGAATAGTTCAATTAATGGATTACCCAGAAGTCCTGCTTCTGATCACCTATGTGCCCAAGTTGGAGACTCACCCCACTCAGTTTTTTCAACATCAGCACCTCTCCCCCATAGCCCAACTCAAAACCAACAGAGGCACTGGGTGGCTGAAGACAACTCCAGCTTGTCAAACAAGCTCCACCCTGCATTACCTGCGGGGAGACCCACCGACATCCAGCACCAGATTCCAACAAGAACTTTCTCTTCAAGGCCTGAGTATCAAATTGAGACTGGTCCTGTAAGTGTTAATAGCATTAACACCACAGACCATTCAGGCTTCAGTTCTAATGAGTACCTGAACACTCAGAGTCACTACCCATCATCACGTTGCAGTAGCAGAACTAGTGATGCTGACAGCATTATCAGCAGAAGCAGAAGTATCTCCCCATCTGTAATGTCTGAATTAGACTGCAAGGTATCTGCAGAGTCAAACAAGATGTACAGCTGTTTACCACGCAGCCATACTCCGTCTCCAAGTCCTTCTCATGCAGAATCTCTGAGGTCTGAGAGTCCAAAGAGCTTGGGCTCTTTTCCAAAGAAATCTCTTCATTGGGAAAGCTCCATTGATCCCTTGCAGGTAGAAAACCAGAACCACAGGACAATTGATAAACCAATAACTCAGACCAGACCTGGACGCATTTCTCCTCTAATGTATCAGAAAAGCCCCTCTGTGCCAGCATCTCCTGCTGTATCAGCTAGGCATGTGCCTGCCTCTCCTTTCCCTGTCCTAGACCCCCAAAACAAAAGAAACTCTTCACCTTCTAACAACACACTGCACAGCTACCAGCCATTACAGTACAGTGGAGACCATAAATTACCTGACTTAGAGCACAGGAAACACAATCATCTGTTTGACAGATCACCAAGGTCCAGCCCTGAGGTTAATAAAAAATGCTCATCCAGCCAAAATTCTGAAGATCTGCCTGTTGGCTGGACCTCCAAGCAGTGGGAGTGGAAAGAGGTTGGACCAGTCCAGGACAGAGGCCAAACGTGTGAAGGAACCTGCCGTCAGACATCTGCCAGAGTTAACATTCAAAGCAAAAGGGATGCACGAAGCAAAGAAGTTCAAAAACATTCAGCGCCAGAGTACCAGACTCTGGGTTTGGAAAAGTCCACAGATAAGAGCGAGGTCCAGGATCCTAGTGGGAGCTCTGGGTCTACCTCCCAGAGCTTCACTGGGGTAACAGGCAGTCTGGATATCAGTTTGCAGCTGGACAAAAATGAAAGTCTGTCCTTGGAGACCTCAAGCCAGTCAAGCCATGGTACCGCGGATGGCAGTTCTGGGATTCAGGTTGGCTGGTTTTACAGGAATGCTACTGTGGGCTGAGATGAATAGTCCTATGAATATGTCACAAACCACATGACCATTGATTAGAATTAATCTGTAGTTTAAAAAAAAACCTCTACTTGCATGTCTTCATGTCTTTGAGAATCACATTGAACTGCTGATGTGTTCAGAACCCTGTTGTTATTATTATTTTATTTTTTCAAAAATAAAAATGTTAAAGTTGAGCATCATGCACATATTTTATTGTATTTTCTTTAAATTAGATATTTCAATCACAACATTCCATAAAGGAACTTGGCAGCATTCTAAAGTTTCTTCTGTTATCTTCTTACAACAAACTAAATCCCCAAGAAAAATCTAGAACCTTCAGGAAGTTCTGTAGCACCAAAACCTGGGAGTCTCCAATAGCAGCCAACACCTAAACAACTAATGTCCTCGCAAACCCATTTGTTTCCTCTTGGAATTTACTCAAAGGCCCACAGATTTAGGAAACGTATGAAGTTTCCATTTATTTTTCTCCACCTGAAGAAAATGAGGTGGCAGGAACACATTTTGGTTGTTTTTGCCCCTCAGTACACTGTTAAATCTGATTAGTTCTACTTAATTGAAAAAAAAACATGCAAACCAATTACACTTAAAATACTAAGTACACGGGACTAGGTAATTATGTGTTGGAGCTACTAATACTTATAAGTAAAATTAAATGTTACAAGTTACATTAAGTCAAACTAGTATTTGGAAATCTGTTTACTGAACTATGTCTGTGAAGGTTCTCAGTCATCCAGGTCATTGTAGTCTAATGAACTTTGAAAGAAAAGCGTCTGGACTTCTTTGAGTTGCTTGAAGACGTTTCACCTCTCATCCGAGAGGCTTCTTCAGTTCTAAGGTCAAATGGTGGAGAGTCCCAGATTTAAACCCAGTGGGAGTTTACCCCCGAAGAGGGAACAGAAGACCCCCTGATGATCTTCTACATAAACACATGAGCCAAGGTGTGAGAGTGGGTGTGGGTCCTATTCAGCCAGAGTTTCGGGTGAGCTCATTGTGAAGCCTGGCCCCACCCTATCATGTGAATTCCTGAGGTCAGGTGGCCCAGGATATGCGTGGGCGTTGAGGCATCTGCGAAGGGATCTCAAAACTGGATTATAGATGGCAGACAGTTGATGTCGTAAACCACCGCCTCTGTTCAAAGATGGTTGCTCACAGTGGACACAAATGGCTTCCTTTACTCCTCTTTCAAACCATCTGTCCTCTCTGTCCAAAATGTGAACGTTGGCATCCTCGAAAGAGTGACCTTTGTCCTTTAGATGCAAATGAACTGCTGAGTCCTGTCCCGTGGAGGTGGCTCTTACATGTTGTGCCATGCGCTTGTGAAGTGGCTGTTTGGTTTCTCCGATGTAGAGGTCTGGGCATTCCTCGCTGCACTGTACAGCATACACCACATTGTTCAGTTTGTGTTTAGGAGTTTTGTCTTTCGGGTGAACCAGTTTCTGTCTGAGTACGTTGCTGGGCCTGAAGTACACTGGTATGTTGTGTTTGGAGAAAACCCTCCTGAGTTTCTCTGATACACCGGCTACATAGGGGATGACAAGGTTGTTGCGTCGGTCTTTCTTATCCTCCCTCGCTGGTGTCTGGTCTTCTTTTCTGTGCATCTTTGCTGACTTTATAAACACCCATTTAGGATAGCCACATGTTTTAAGTGATTCCTTTATGTGTGTGTGTTCCTTCTTTTTCCCTTCCGGCTTAGAGGGAACATGTTCTGCCCGGTGGTGTAAGGTCTTGATTACTCCAAAGCCCTTTTCAGACAGACATTCTGGAACATTTGCGGACAATTCAATCCGGTTTTTAACCGGAACTGTGTTTTCAGACACACCACTTTTGTACTGGAACTTGTCCTTTCGGCTGCGTTCACACAGCAGGGAAAAGTTCCAGATGTCTGACGGCGGCGGGGGGTGGGGGGATCGGACTTATGTTAAGAAGAAGAAGAAGAAAATATCATTTCTATAGCGCCTCTCAAGATAAAAATCACGAGGCGCTTAAGCATAATTCTGCGCACACGAAGACGCATAAGAGACCTGGATGATGAAGCTCAATGGTTAAAGGAATCACAAGCGGTGTGAAGCGCTCCGTCGCACGTCTAGACGGTACCGTAGGAGGCGAGCTGCCGTGGTTTGCCGCATGCTACAGCAGCGAGCTATATAGGTGCGCACAGCGTCCCCCGGTCCCCTCCTCCTCCCCCTCCCTCTTGTCCGGAACTTTACCTCACCAGTCTGAAGCAGCCACCCTGTCCGTAACAAGTCTGGACCTGTTACTAGGGGCTTCGTCCGGATAAATTCCGGAACACGTTATCCGGATGTTTGTATTCAGACAGAAAGGTCTTACGGACAGATTCCGGAACATTTCCGTTTTTCATGGCCTGTCTGAAGGGGGCTCAAGTTTGTGTTCCAGAGGGTGATGTGAGTCGAAGAGGAGGTACTTGTCCATGTGTGTGGGCTTCCGGTACACTTCAGTGTTGAGGTTGCCATTTTCTTCAAAATGCACAGCGCAGTCCAGGAAAGGCAAGCAGTTGTCCTTTATGTTTTCCCTGGCGAACTTGATGTTTTTGTCCACGGCGTTGATGTGCGTAGTGAAGGATTCCACTTCTTTTGTTTTGATTTTGACCCAGGTGTCATCCACATATTGTACCAGTGGCTGGGTGCTCTCCCTTTAGAAGAGCCAAGAGCCTTTCTTTCCACTTCCTCCATGTAAAGGTTGGCTACAATAGGTGACACGGGGGAGCCCATGGCGCAGCCATGTTTTTGTCTGTAGAAACCTTCGTTGTATTTGAAATATGTAGTGGTGAGGCAGAGGTCTTACAGTGTGCAAATCTGATCGGGTGTGAAGTTGGTCCTGTCCTCCAAGGTGCTGTCTTCTTGTAGTTGTTTTCTGACAGTCTCCACTGCCTCTGTAGTGAGTATGCAAGTGAAGAGGGAGACTACGTCAAAGGACACCATGGTTTCATCTGGATCCAGGGTAAGTTTCTGGACCTTGTCAGTGAAGTCGGTGGAGTTCTTGATGTGGTGTGGGGTGTTCCCCACCAGAGGTGCAAGGATAGTAGCAAGGTGTTTCGCAATGTTGTAGGTGACTGAATTTATGCTACTGACAATGGGTCTGAGAGGGATACCTTCCTTGTGGATCTTGGGAAGTCCGTAGATGCAGTGTATGGCATCTCCTGGATAAAGGCGGTGATATGTCAGGCGGTTGATGGTTTTGTCCCTTTCAAGGCATTGAAGGCAACCTATAACTTTCTTTTTGTAGCTGCTTGTGGGGGTCTCGCTTTAAGCCTTCATAGGTGTTGTTGTCACTGAGGAGAGTAGTGATCTTTGCGTGGTAATCTGTTGTGTTTAGGACCACGGTGCACCTTCCCTTATCAGCTGGCAAGATAGTGATGGTGTGGTCTTTGCTCAGTGATGCAACTACCTTCTTTTCTTGTAACGTGAGGTTAGGCGGAGGGACTTTGGCACTGGAGACGGTGGCTGAGACTTTCATCCTGATCTGTTCTGCTTCTGTCTGAGATAATTTTTGATCCATATGGCAGTTTCAGTGGCTGTGATGAGGTCCACTATGGGCAACTGTTGCGGAACAATGGCAAAATTGAGTCCTTTGGCTAATACGTTCATTTCAGGTTCAGTGAGATTCCGGTCTGAAAAGTTCTTCACCCATTTTCTTCGACTGTCCTCTGGTGTTAGTTCTTCTCTGCGTTGTGTAGATTCAGACTGAGGAGTGAGTGTTTTTGAAAGCAGGGTGTGGAATTTCCTGCATTGTCTTTCATTTCCTTTGGAGTGTTGGGCCCACTGAGCCTTCTCCACAAACTTGTAAACCTCTTCTAAGATTGGAGAGGGTAGAAGGGTTTCCAGTTCCTGCAGAGTCTCGCTAATCTTGCTTTGGAGGGCATCTATAGTGAAATGGACCTGTCTTATCCTTTCACGTAGAAGCTGATTTTGTGCTCTTTGTAGAATTAAGTCTGCTCTGTGTCCTCTGACAGTGGATCCTAGGTGCAGGCTCTTAGGAACAACTCTGCTTTGTCTGCATCTCAGGTTGAAACGGACGTGGTTCCTGTAATCCGCTAGTTTTCTAGATTCCCTTTCATATTCCCGCACCAGTTGAAGGGTGTTCCTCCCAAAATGTACGGCAATATGTCTGTGAAGGTTCTCAGTCATCCAGGTCATTGTAGTCTAATGAGCTTTGAAAGAAAAGCGTCTGGACTTCTTTGAGTTGCTTGAAGACCTGCTTTGAGATCCCTTCCCAGATGCCTCAACGCCCATGCATATCCTGGGCCACCTGACCTCAGGAATTCACATGATAGGGTGGGGCCAGGCTTTACAATGAGCTCACCCGAAACTCTGGCTGAATAGGACCCACACCCACCCTCACACCTTGGCTCATGTGTTTATGTAGAAGATCATCAGGGGGTCTTCTGTTCCCTCTTCGGGGGTAAACTCCCACTGGGTTTAAATCTGGGACTCTCCACCATTTGACCTTAGAACTGAAGAAGCCTCTCGGATGAGAGGTGAAACGTCTTCAAGCAACTCAAAGAAGTCCAGACGCTTTTCTTTCAAAGCTCATTAGACTTTTTACTGAACTAGTTTTTCTTAGTTGTATATACTTAAGCTTTAATAAACTGCAAGCAAAAATGTCAGTACACTGAACTTGTTTGTCTTAGTAATAGTTCATTGCATTTAAGTATGTTTTACTTTGTATACATGAGGAGCGTCAAAACAAAATTATCTAGTACCATGTACTTATTATTTTAAGTGCAGTCGGTTTGTATGCTTTTTTCAAGTTAGAACTTAGTCCCACTTACTTGACAAAAGTAGCCTAAGCCGAGTACGCTGTGTAACAGCCACACTGAAAAACACCAGCTAGCGCATGCCTTGTACCTCTCATGACTGTGGACAGCCAGTGAGAGGGACACAAAAAGTGAGCGTTTACTGTGAACCATGCGTCACGTTTTTATTGTAACAGCGGCACAGCAGCCCTATTCCTGTGACCAGCCTCCTCACTTATGGTACCAACATGACACAACAAGTAAAGCCACATTTGCAACAGTGGACTAAGTAATAACTAAGAACATCACAATCCCCCCAAAATAAACACGAATAACAACCCCCAAAAATAGAACTAACTAAAAGACTACCCACAATGCACCTTGCCCACTGTAGCTCTCTGCAACCAATCAGTTGCTACCAGTCCAACTTTTAGAATAAAGGGGTGGAGTCTGCAGGTATTATAGCTGCTGTGGGAGTTAAGAGTTGGATTTTCAGGAGTTATTTTTTCCAAACTGACCCCTACAGTGTTAATTAGGAAACCCTCCTTTTCAACGCTCTGGCTTAACTCTTATGTCAGTGTTACATATCAACTATATAACTTTTTTAGTGTTAAGTTAACTATTCTCAATGTTAAATTTGACCAACACCCCAAAATTCACACTTTTAAATGTGTATAATGTAAGTGAGGGCAGCATGCACTTTAAAGTTTTTGGTACTTGCTTTTAGCAGGTAACTAAAACTAACCCTGTGTAACAATAACTTATACACTGTGAAGGTCAATTAACTTGAATGTGCTAGTAGAAGAAACTCACACCATGTCATAGTTACTCAGAATAAATAGTGGAATGTACTTGTTTGATATTCAATTAATGTTTACTTTATAAAATCTAGTTTGTAGTACAATGTAGTACTGGTAACTTGTCTAGATCAAGTGATGAGTACTTTTGGATTTTACAGTGACATTGGTTAATTATTTTATTTTGTTATTTAGTTGGACAGCAGCTCAACATCGACTCCATCATCGCGATCACAAAAGATAGCACAAGCAAAGTGGGACTTCCTGTTTGGCAGCCAGGTGGAGGACGTCCCTCGTAGTAAAGGTACGGATGACTGTGTTCAGACACGATTCAGTCATGTTTAGATAAAGAGTTTGGTACAATTTGGGATTTTTTTCAGCCAAATGACTGCAATAACAGAACTGCAGTTCCCTTATTGCTGTTGTAACTTACAAAGCCTTTAAAGCTTAGACAGTTTGGTTAAACTGAAGTAAACAAGCAGCTTCAGCCTTCTGCAGCTTTCTGTGAGCCAATTAGCTGAAGCTTAGCAGACATAAGATGGGCTCCTACAGAGTGCAGCACCACTTCCTATTTGTCTTTTGAGTGTTTTTCTGCCTGTTTCTGGAGAGACCCACTAACCTCAAGGTGTTGGTTTCATGATAGCTGAGGAAAAACATGACCTGAAACATTTTCCGTAAAGTATTTTTTAGAAATTCACCAAATAATCAGCTGATGATTGATACTGTCCAATATTCAACTCATAGTAGGTACAAAAAGTATCCAGACCTCAGTCCATTTTTCACTCTTTGTTAAATTGCAGACACACTTATTGACAGAAAATCACAGAATTTTAGAAATGTAAGATTTATTACAAAAGAAAAACTGAAATATCACATGGTCCTAAGTATTCAGACCCTTTGCTCAGTATTTAGTAGAAGCACACTTTTGAGCTAATACAGCCATGAGTCTTCTTGGTAGATGCAACAAGTTTCTCACACATGGATTTGAGGATCCTCTGACATTCTTCCTTGCGGATCCTCTCCATTTCTGTCAGGTTGGATGGTAAATATTGTTGGACAGCGATTTTTAGGTCTGCCTTGAGATACTCAATTGGGTTTAACCCTAAGGTGTCCCTTTAATTTACTATACTCTTGTGACCTTAGAGGACAAAAAAGTCAGATGGTAAAAGTGGCTATAAAAATTGTATGCATTCATATAGGGTTGTCACGGTAACCGGTGTAGTGATATACCCCAGTAAAAAAGTTGACAATAATAATAACCGTCTTGTTTTTAAAAAAACTATATTATCTCGGTGGGTTTACCGTGGCTGCGGTGTAGGCGCGGTGACCCTTACCAGCCACCGTATCATCTGCTGAAGTTGCTGGCGGCACATGCGCGCTTTGTTGTTTACAACCAAAACTTTCTTGAAGTTAAAGCTGAAATAATGGCCAAAGGAGGAGACGGCAGTGCTCAGGTGGACATTTTTATCCCTCAAAGAAGACAAAGTCGGAAGTATGGGCATTTTTTAGATATTTGAAGAATGCCGAGGGACAGTTGATAGAAGACTGCTATCCTGTTTGCAGCACGTGCAGAAAAAGTGTCTGTGAAAGGCAGCGACGCTTCAAATCTCATGACACATCTGCGGGACCATCACCCACAACTCTACAGTCAACGCAAGGCAAGCTAACGTTAGCGTTTTAGCTAAAATACGTGATCCGAGGATTTGGGTTGAGGGAGAATGCAACTAGTCGCTATATAAAGCAGCCGCAGCGCCGCTACCTGCATATGTTTATGTTTATGTATTTAGCAGACGTTTTTGTCCAAAGCAACTTACAAGTGATAATCGGCATATTGCCCTTGAGGCTTACAACAACAATAACAACAATAACATTGACATCAGTCATGGAAAGTAGGGAGCAAGGTGTGGACGGTAGAGAGGGGGGACGGGTGCAGGCAAGGTGCTAGTTAAGAAGATGCTCTCTGAAGAGCAGGGTCTTCAGGAGTTTCTTGAAAATTGAAAAGGAAGGCGCGGTTCTAGAAGTGCTTGGAAGGTCATTCCACATTTGTGGAACGATGCATGAGAAAAGTCTGGATTGTCCTGAGCGTGGGGTAGGCACTGCTAGCCGACAATCCTGTGATGACCGGAGCGGCCGGGCCGAGACGTAAGCCTTTGCAAGAGGATTCAGGTAGACGGGAGCCATACCATCTCGGACTTTGTATGCTAGTGTTAGCAATTTGAATTTGATACGTGCTGCTAGCGGTAGCCAGTGGAGCTCAATGAGCAGAGGGGTGACGTGTGCTCTTTTTGGCTGATTGAAGACCAGATGCGCCGCTGCGTTCTGGACTATTTGAAGAGGTCTCACAGTACAGGCTGGAAGACCAGTTAGAAGGGCATTGCAGTAATCGAGGCGGGAGATGACAGTAGATTGCACCAGGAGCTGGGTGGCATGTTGTGTTAGGTATGGTCTGATCTTTTGTATGTTATACAGCACAAAGCGGCATGAACGAGCAACGGAGGCAACATGATCTTTAAAGGTCAGGTGTTCATCAATCACAACACCCAGATTTCGAACTACCTTTGAAGGAGCCAGAGATAGGAAGTCATTTTGGAATGAGATATTGTGCTGTATGGATGGTTTTGCTGGGATGACAAGTAGTTCAGTTTTAGAGAGGTTGAGTGGAGATGGTGGGATTTCATCCATTTTGATAAGTCAGAGAGACAGTTTGATATTCATGCAGAGACAGTGTGGTCGTCCGGTGGAATTGACAGATAGAGCTGGGTGTCGTCTGCATAGCAGTGGTAGGAGAAGCCATGTGATCGAATGATCTCACCCAGTGAGGTGGTGTATATGGCAAAGAGAAGAGGTCCTAGTACAGAGCCCTGGGGGACTCCTGTGGCAAGATGGTGCATGGTAGAGGATTGTCCAAGCCAAGATACACTGAATGATTGCCCTGTGAGGTATGATTCAAACCAGGCGTGTGCTTTCTCTGTGATGCCCATGCTAGAGAGTGTGGACAAAAGGAAGCCATGGTTGACAGTGTCAAATGCAGCCGATAAGTCGAGCAGGATAAGCACTGACGATTTTCCTGTCACTCTAGCTTCTTTTAAGGATTCAGTCACTGCTAACAGAGCAGTTTCAGTGGAGTGGCCCATTTTGAACCCAGATTGGTAAGGGTCAAGCAGACAGTTTTGTGAGAGGTATTCTTTGATCTGCTTGAAAGCCACCCTTTCAATGATTTTGGACAGAAAAGGGAGGAGAGAGATAGGTCGGTAGTTCTCCACATGATTTGGAGGAAGAGATGGTTTTTTTTTTTTTTTGCAGCGGTTTAACCTGAGCATGCTTGAGAGAGGTGGGAAATGTACCAGATGCCAGTGATGCGTTGATCACATGTGTGACTGCTGCGGCTACTGTAGGAGCAATAGCTTGGAGCAGCTTAGTCGGAATAGGGTCCAGTGGGCATGTAGTTGGGCAGCTGCACGTGAGAAGCTTGGACACAGTTCTCAGTGAGAGGGGGAAAAGAGGAAAATGAAGCAGTAGGGCCTGAGATGGTTGGGCTTGAAGGAGTTTGTGGTAATGAATGTTCAGGAGTGGCCAGTTGAGTAAACTGTTCGCTTACAGCTGCCACTTTGTCAGTGAAGAATGAGGCAAAGGTGTCAGCTGATAGATTGTTGGTAGGAGGTGGAGATGGAGGGGCGAGCAGAGTTTTGAATGTTGAAAATAGTTTCTGAGAGTCAGTAGAGCTGAAAATTTTGTCAGTGTAGAAAGCTTTCTTTGCATCAGTGATGCTGGCAGAGAATGAGGACAGTAATTCCTGAAATTTCAATAGATCACCAGCATCTTTTGTTTTGCGCCATTTCCGTTCCGCAGCTCTAAGATTGGTGCGTAGAGACCGGAGGGTATCATTTAGCCAAGGGTGCAACTGAGAGGATCTAGCAGTTAACTTGGAGTGGCTAAATGGCACAAGTTGTTAAGACAAGAGCAGTGTGTGGAGCTGAGTGACTGCATAGAATGTGCTGGGAGATGGAAGGGTGGAGGCAACAAGAGAGGAGAAGTGGTTGGGTGCCAGATTGCGGAGGTTGCGGCTGAATGAGACCATTGGGGAGGAAGCAGTGGACCTCCCTTGTAGAGTCGTGCTGAAATGGATGAAGTAATGATGGGAAAGATGCAGTGTGTGACAGAGATTGTGTCAATGGCACAGTTTCTGGTGAAAATGAGGTCAAGTGTTTTTCCAGCTTTGTGAGTTGGAGGACTTTGTACTAGTTTTAGATCAAAGTTCAGGAGAGAGCTCAACGGGCAAGGGGTTTTCAACACACACCCAAAGTTTCCCCCACCCCAGATCGACAACAGGGACAAAGCGCTATAATAGATTGTTACCAAGGATCAAAGGAATGGAACCAAAGTCAGAAACATACACGGGGCGTTTCATTATCATAGGGTCAATTTTGACGTGAAGAAGAATCAAACACAGATGGACTCCAATGAAGGTGTAGGACCATCTCAAGGATAATCAGACGAAATGGAAAGCACCGGAGTTGAATATGAATGTCACAGCTAATGGTCTGAATACTTAGGACCATGTGATACTTCAGTTTGTCTTTTTAAATAAATTTGCAGAAATTTCTAAAATTCAGGTTTTCTGAAATATGGGGTGCTGTGTGCACATTAATGATGAAAACAACGACTTTAATTGATTTTAGCAAATGGCTGCAGTATAACAGAGTGTGAAAAATCTTTCCGTACCCACTGTATCTGCTCTGATTTAGTGACTGACTGATCCTAAATCAAAAATGTTTTTCTTTCAGTTCATCAACGTGCCAGTGGTGAAACTATTTGTTATCATTAAAGGGGCATTATGGAAGTTTGACAGCCAAAACATGTATAGAAATAATAAATGTCTTCTTCATACATTCTCCTGCAATGCCCTGGTCCTGTAGAATGAGCCCTGGCATTTTTACTGTGATTGCCTGTTTTTCTGTAAAATCACAGAAAAAGAGAGCTGCTCGGGTCGAGCAGGCTGCTTCACGCTCAGGCATAGCCCGTAGCATTTGCTGTCAGTAGCTTTAGCAGCAGAGAGTGAGGTAATGCCAACTCAGCGACTTTGTCGCTGTTCCTAACGCCTAGTGATGAACCCAGCTACATTTCTGAGGACCCTTAGCTACTTTCTTCTAAATATTTCCTGCAAATTAGCAACAAAATAGCCATTTTCGCTCCGAACCGCTCTTTGAACGTTGTTTCAGGTGTCATCAAGAATATAAATGTTACAGACACGAAATACGTTACTGGCGCTTTAGCTCACCTTGTAAGAAGTTACTCTCCTGCAGAAGACCTGGGTTCGATTCTGGATGTGTCCATAATTTATTTAGAATTTATTTTTTACATTATTGGTATATTTTTTTACAGTAAGATGCCCAAATTTTTATTTGAGACTCGCCGAACGGCATTGAATTCACAGATAACAAAGATGTGGGTTCAACTTTCATTTTGGAACAATTTTTCAAGCAGGGGAAGGGAAGCTCTGTGAAGCTGATGGACTGACCCATCTTAAACCTTTGTCGGCTGTGCTGAAGAGAAAGCACAGAACCAAATTATTTAATTAAGTCATTCACTGCCAGCCGTTTCCTGATCACTAACGGCCTTCGCTGCCAGCGTTTCTCACCGTTTTTACTGTTTTTTTAAGAGTCACAGAACGTTGCGCGCTAGCATGATGTCGATGCCAAAACAACCTAAACAAAGAGGAGACTCACCTCTAACATCAGGAAGAAGCCGTGTGTTTCGAGCATTATCCGTTCTTTCATAATCCGTTGTCGAATTGTGATCGGCAGACGCTTCTCCGGTTCGCTCCTCACTTTTTTTACAGGAACGGCCCAAAACGATCTCCAAACACATGGATGGTCTGCTTCCTGATCATGTGATCTGTGACGTATGCGGATGAAGATCGGCTTCAGGGCTGAGATGTTTGTTCTCTCAGCGCGGGGGCTCGTTCCGATGCTCAAACAGTAAAAAAATGCAAATGACGACTTTAGTCGTCATTGGCAGTGAATGAGTTAATTAGCTGCGCGTTCTCCTGTCCTCTGTCCCCCAGGCCACACACACACACACAAGGGACTGTCTCAGCTGTTATTTTCGTTAAGGAGTGTGCACATACAGCATGCGCGCCTTGTGCTCGAGCCTACCATTGAAGCTGCCGTTACGCTTTTGGCCTGAGGGGGCAATCGCGAGCATAAAAATTCAAAACTCTGTAAAGTCCCTTTAAAGAAAAAACATTTTATGTAATGAAGAAATTTATCTCAATTGATAAATTACTACTTATTTTATCTTTTTCCCAGGTCACACATATTTTCTCTAACGCTCAGTATGTAAACTTTAAAATGGAGTTCATCACCTGCTGAATAATAAATGGCTGATTATCATCAGCAGGATGAAAACATGGATGTTCCGAGCATTGATTTAGTTGTTTTTACAAGTAGAGAGCAGATTGCATGTTGTTGCAATGACCTTTGATCATTTAAGAGATTCACTAGTCCTTGTAGTGTTTGTTGGGAAACCAATAGTCCAACTTAGCCCTAGCTTACAGCAGTTGCTGCATGCAGCTGCAGATACGTGCACAATCATGAATTTTACCTTCATCCGATTTATTTCTGATTGTGTTAGTTCAGTTTTATTTCCACTATCAGAATCAATTCATCCCTGGTTTTTATAATTTCATTATATTTAACACTCAATAAACATGCAGTCAGTTTAGTTCTTTTTGTCCGTCCTGACTAATGGTTTACATCTACCTGCAGAAGCTCCAGCCGCACCTCCTCCAACAAGCTGCTTGCCAAGCCCCGCACTTTCCTCCTCTGTCCGCCTGCTGCCAGCCAGTCAGAGGAGGGGATGGGACAGCAAATGTAGGAGGTCATCACATCACGAAGTTCGACAGATTGAGGTTGAGCTGGTTACACCATTTACCCGAGGCCCTGCCCCCGAAACTGGCATTATCCGTCGATCCATCAAGTATTCTGAAACGGACCTGGATGCCGTGCCACTGCGCTGCTACCGTGAGACCGACCTGGACGAGGTTAGCAGTTTCTCTTTAATCTTCTGACCTCATGTTTTAACACTATAATCATGGGATTGATGATAGTTGTAGTGATGGTGATAATGGTGATGTTTGTGTAATAAAGTTAAAGTCTGATAGTCATCATCACACACTGGTGAAATACATCTCCACATCTGACCCATCCCCTTAGGGAGCGGGGAGCTGCAGCTGTGGCTGCACCTTGGAACCATTTGGTGGTTTAACCCCCCAATCCAAAACCCTTAAAGCTGAGTGCCAAGCAGGGGAGGCATTGGGTCCCATTGTTAAAAACTTTGGTATGACCCGACCGGAATTTGAACCCCGAACCCCCAGGGTGGACACTCTCCCACTAGGCCACAGAGCTGGTAATGGGGATAAGGATGATAGTGATGGTAATGATGGCTATGATGAATGTGGTGGTGACTAAGGATACACCGAAAATCTTTGGCCAAAAATGAATCAAAAGTGCATTTTCAGTTTTCGGCCAAAAGACCTAAATTACCGTAACAACACAGCCGAAATAGACCAACCCCGTTTTTGTTGTCATCTCTCTCTGCTCTCATGTGACTACTTGCTCTTTGCTTCATAAAAACAGGACAATCATTGAGCGATTTTAGCCCATTCTGGGGGTGCCGAAGCACCCCTAAATAAACTCCAGGCACCCCTAAAATGTAACAATTAATACCGTTTATTTTTAATATGTTTTTATAGACAATTGTAAAATATAAAAAGCAAACAGTGCTTGGTTGAAGCGTTACGTTTCAACAACAAAATGCAGCATCCCCCCCCCCCCCACACACACACACCTCAAAAGTGGTTTGATCCAATTCACCTTTCTCAGAGTCAGGCTATGAGCCTCTGACTGCCACCTTCCTTGAGTGGCTGATATGCTGGCGCTGTACAGTTTTCTGTTTCATGTTTAAATTTCACATAAACAGTTTGTGAGGAGAAAGCCGTGGCTGCCAATCCATCAAGGAGGCGGGGCTTTATCCAGGTCTGGAGAGCTTGTGGCGGTAAGACCGATGAGCATGGTGGAGAAAAAGGCTTGTGAATTTAAGCTTTCAGGGTGTCTCTGACAGTGTGTGTGATCTTTCTCAGTCATTGTTCCCAGTCTCACGGTAAGATACCACGTTGATCCAGTAATTAGACAGGTTCTTCATGCTAAAGCCCAAAGAAGATTTTAACAGACACGGTGCTGAAGTGGTTGTTTCAGATACATGAAAATCAAACCCTTCACATTAAAGAAAAGTTCAAATTTTATAGAATCATTGATATTTTTTTTTCTTTTTAGAATTCTGAGAAAAATGTCAGAGCTCCAACATTAGATCTAAGGATATAGTCAGTGATCACCTTCTGCATCTTCCCTACATATCTACTATGAGTTGTTGACATTTTTGAAAAAAAAAACTTTCTTTTGTTTCTATTTGGTTTTAAAATTAGGGAGAAATTTTTTTTGCAAACCGAGTATGGCAACGGTTTTCAGTGGGATGTTGATATTGGTGTAAAATTAGGTAAAAACACATAAATCCAAAAATATCACTGGTACTTTTAGTAATTCCAACCAATGTTTCCCTCCCAGAGAATCTTTAATCTGTTTTTATTATAAAACTACAACAACCTGGACTAGCTCATTTCCCATTAATGGCAGAGTCCAATCAATCCAGTTTTATTTCTATAGCACTTTCTACACAACACCATCGACCAAAGTGAACTGAGTGGCTGCACCTGGGTTGCTGTGTCTGTGAGACCTGTCGGATCGATGTCCAAGTGAACACAGTTTTTAAAGGTTTTTTGCCTTTTTATTTCTTTTTTCTTTTTAATTGCCTTTTAAAAGGACTCTAGTTTTAACCGATTTTACCCCGGTAAAATTTTAATAACTTCCGTCTTTAGTTCGGACTGCTTTTTACTTCCTCATGCCTCCACTCACCTGCAGCCCTGGATGTGACAGTTGTCAAAAAGTCTCTCAGAAGGTTGTAGAGCTCGAGCAGAGGATCTCCATACTACATCATATGCAGGACCATGAGCTGGACATGGACAACATCTTTGGCCGCACCTTCACCGCTGCCGGCAGCACACAACTGGCTGAGACCATCCCCTGTCAGCCCGCCAGAGCTATGGACGGTGGATCCACCGCTGGGTCTTCAAGCGGCCTTGGGGCACTGGAGGTCTGTGTAACATCATCTGCGGAGGAGGGGTGCTGGTTCCAGTTGGGAGCTAAGCCATAAGTCCCCCTCTGCTCCACTCCAGCGCTCCAGGGTGCCTGGTCAACAGTTGGCCCCAGCCACGCGGGGAGGCTCGGAGCTTTGGCCATCAATCTCCTCCACTTTGCCTACCGCTGGCTAACCGTTTCGAGCCCCTAGAGCAGGATTTCCCTTCGCTGATGGTGTCTGGGCCCCGCATCGTGGGACCGTTCTCTCATTCCACCCAGCCGCCGCAGGAGCAGCAGTCGAATGGCAACGGCCTTCCATGTCCCACCAAACTCTGGGCAGCAGCTCGATCTTGCCGAGGAGTGGTGAACTTCACACCAAACCCACGAAAGGAGCCCATGGCACAGATGACCCACAGCTGCTGTCCCGGGGAAACACTGCCCGACATCCAGCAGGTCCTGGAAAACCCAAAACCAGCCGACCCGCCACACACCACCATTGGAGACTCCATCAGACACGTCAGGATGAGAGGAGCCCTCACTCACTGTTTTTCTGGAACAACATTTATGGACATCGCAGAGCAAATCTCTGACCTTTCAGCATCACCCTACAGTGAAGTAAAACCATAATCCATGCCGGTACCAATGACATTCACAAGCAGCAGTCCCAACTTCTCAAGCGTGGTTTTATTCACCTTGTAAGTCTTTTAAAAAACACACACTTGTGTATTTTTGTCTCTGGCCCCATTCCCGCCGTCGACAGAGGAATCTGATGTTTTAGCAGGCTTTTATCTCTGAACACCTGGCTCTCCTCTGTCACTGTGCAGCACCATCTTGGTTTTATGGCTGATTTTTACATTTTTTGGGGCTGAAGGCATCTGTTCGGGCCAGACGGGCTTCATTTAAACAATAAAGGAACCTTTGAATGAGCCACAACCACCTCTGTCCACCACACCAGCTCCAGCCTCACCCCCACCCCAACCTCCTGCCCTCGCGTCTTGATCCTCCCCGGTCTAGGCACCTATGAACCCAGTCCTGGTTTTAACAGTAACTCACATACTGGACTTGGACCTTGCCAAACTACTCACACACCCTAACCCTAACCCACTGTTATCAGCAGAGAGCGATCACACAAACCGAAATCTAACCGACCCAACCTTAATCATCTCACACAGTTATCAAGAGTCCCACGTTCAGTAAGTCACAGTTACTCCATCTATAGCCACTATTAATATGGCTCTTTTAAATTCACTCTCTGCTGAACAAAACTTTTATTATAAATGATCAGATTTTAGACAATAATCTTCAATGTTTCGTTTGAACTGAAACACGGTTGAGTTCAGATGCTCCTGTTGTTCTTACAGAGGCCTCCCCACCAAACTTCAGTTTTATTTATTCAAGCAGGAATGGAAAAAAGAGAGGCGGAACTGCTGTTATATCTTCTTCATTACTTTACTGCTAAATTTGCTTTATTTGACAATTTTACCGCTTTTGAGTGTACTGCAGCTGTTTTTAGTATGCCTCAGATTTTATGCGTCACAGTTTATAGGCCTCTGAAGCAGACTGGACTTTTTATTCAAGATTTTTCAGAGTTTTTATCTATTCTACTCAACTCCTTTGATAGGATTATTTTAGCGGGTGATTTTAATCCACACGTAGATAACCTTTTAGATCCTCTAGCCTCAGATTTTTAAAATATCTTGAATTTTATGGATTTTACTCAACATCACGCAACCGACTCACAACAGAGAACTCACCCTGGACTTGGTCATCACGTACGGCCTGTCCACCAGTGTGTCTTCTGTTGTGGACCTGGCTGTGTCTGACCATTATTGTGTGTTTTTTAACATCACCAGTTTTATTCAGCGGGAGACCTCTGTCAGAACTGTAATGAAATGCCATCTAACCCCTAAAGTGGCTGCTGGTTTTCTGGAAGTTTTTAGAAAGATCCCTCCAATAATTTTTCTGCCTCCTGTGATTTTATTGTCGATGATTTCTTCTGGAGGCAGACAGATGAGACCTTGGGAAAGAAAGTTATTGTTTATGATTCAGACTTGCAGAGTCTGAATCCCAGCTGGTGTGAAGGCTCATTTAAAGGGAACACACATGCAATGTTGTGTCTCCTTTCTGACCAGATGTTGAATAGATGGTGAAAGGTCAGACTGTACCCAAACTGACCCATGCTGGACGCTACAGTTGTTACAGATGCATGCCCCTCCATGCTCCCTTTGCTCAGCTGATCAGGATTTGCTCATTGTCCCACTAACAAGGTTCAAAACAAGAGATGATTGGGCCTTTTCGGTCCTTGCTCCAACACTATGGAATGAGCTTCCACTTGCTGTCAAACAGTCCCCATCACTGCTGGTCTTCAAGAGACTCGTTTGTATCATTTGACTTTTAAATAATATGGAATTTAGATTTTTTTGTCTTTTATCATATCTGACTTATGATTTTAGTCATTTTTTGTGCGGTTTTTAATCTGTCTTTTTTGTCTCTTACTGTTTTTATGTCATGTTCAGCGCCTTGGGCTTCTGTAAAGGCAGTGGAAGGCTCTACAAATCAAATTTGATTGATTAATTGTGGTGGTGGTGATGATGATGATGACGATAATGATGATGATGATGCGTTTTAGGTAATGCGAGCGGAGTCTGAGTCGGCAGAGGAGGTGGACTCGGCCTTTGGAAGCAATCGCAGCGTTTTAGAAAACAGCATCAGCCCTGAAGACTCTGTTCCCAAACTTCGGACAAGTGCAGGAAAGGAGGAGAATGGAGAGGAGTTTAATGATGAGGAGGAAGGAGTGGCGAGTTGGGCTAGTGTCCGGATGCATGGAGATAAACGAAGACAGCGAGCAGCCAAGGAGGAAGAGGATGTTTTGAGTCTGTTGCTGAAGGGGTGAGAAAATACTTTGTCTCAGAGTTCTGGTCCAATTCCAAGGTTCTAATTTCTTTTGTAGTCCATTTGATCTAAGAGCTAGAGTAGTGAAAGTCCCAGGATCATAATCACAGAGAAGGGGCGGGGCTAATTTAGAGGTTAGGGGTTTGATGGGTCAGAACAACGCCTTGTTGAAACACGATGTGTTCCTCCTGAACAGAACCTTGGAGGCATCGTCAGACGTCCATGGCGGTCTTAAGTCCCCGATTTCCATCGGTAGCCCCCGCCGGCCCTCAGACAACAACCTGGACACCTTTAGCCGACACTTTGAGACCATCATGGAGTCTCACCGGGCCAAAGGCACTTCCTACAGCAGCCTGGACAGCGTCGACCTGCTGACCTGTGGGTCAACATCTGTGTTCACCTTTGACCTGCCTACTCTGACTCCAGAGATCCAGGTGAGACATAGATCCACCATGTGTGACAGGTTGAGTCCAAAAGGTGATGTCTTCATTTCTGTGTTTAGAGTCAGATCTGTGAGAGCGCCAAGCAGATCATCGAGCTGAGCTTTGCTCCACTGGCCTGCTCGGATACATCCTCTCGGTCTGAGACGTCCCGGTCTGAAATCAGCCTCAGCACCTTGGGGACAGGGTTCCAAGAAGTTTCCAAGGATGAGTCCGGTCCTCCGGTCCGGTCACGCTCAGTGAGAGAGACGTGGCGTCACTCCATCTTGAAGGAGGGTTTCAGGAAGGCTAGTTCGGTTCCGTCTCTAGACGGCGTCTACACTAGGTGAGTCCCATTTCAAAGCTCTGGTCAGATTCAAAGTAGAGGTTGACTGATATGTTTTTTTTTTTTTTGTTTTTTGCCAATACCGATATGAGGCGGTCGTGGTCAGCCGATGGCCGATATCTTGGTGTTTAGCACCTTATCTGAATGCTTAATTATCACCAATAACTGTGGATGCACAACATTTCTGGGCTTAATCTGTTTTTAATTTAACCAACTGTTGAATCTTAATTTTGTTTATGTTTATTTATGTGGCAGACGCTTTCATCCAAAGCGGCGTACAATAGTTAACCTATAGGGCGTGTTGTGATCTGTGGGGGAAACCGGAGTACCCAAAGGAAACCCACGCAGAAAGGCTGCAGCCGGGTTTCGAACCTGCAACCTTCTTGCTGCGAGGCAACAGTGCTAACAACTGCACCCCATGCACTGATAAAAAATAACAATAAACTGATGAAGTATTAAATATACAACACAGGCAAAAGGAAATGCCAGCGATAATGTTTCAGAGCATTTATTAAGCAGGTGTTTTATAGGGATGTACACATTCACATGTAAGTATAAATAAATACAACTTTAGAATGACTGAAACAGTGTGTAATATAAGGATTTAATAATAAATAATACCGGCACACCAGCAACATCTGAAGTTCATCCAGTCTTTTTAACTGACTGTTTAATAACATCTTCATGTAAAACAGCTGCAGTATTAACTAACCTTGGTGCTCTTGACTCAGCAGCAGCTTCTGTGTTAGCCTGGAGATGGGGAACCTTCAGGTTGTGTTTTTACCTTCTTCAGCTCCCAGCTCACCAGCCTCCTGCTGATATCACACCTCCTTTCCTTGGTTTGGCTCCATGACTTGCTACCATGCTGGATCTGACTTTGATTGAGAACATCAGACAGAAACTAAACAGGAGAAACAGTTGTTAGTGTTTGTGTAGAGCATGGTTTCTCAACCTTTTTCAGCTAAACGCCCCCCCAAGTCATGCTGAAATCCCTTACTGCCCACCAATGTCCCATGCAGAGAAATGGAAAGTTTTTTTAAATAAAAATCATAATAAAAAAATAAATAAATAAACAATTCAGCCTTGAGTTTGAAACTGTTTCATACAAATATGTCATAAAAAAGTATCATAAAAAGTGTTTTTAGCTATTAGCAACAAGATATTGTAGGAAGCTAATAATCCTCGGTCCAGTAAATTTGAGCTTCGAGCAAACATACTGCTAATGCTACCTCTTTTAGAGTGTCTCTCTTTAATTACCTGAAAATAGTTCAGTTCCTTTAAAGCTTTGTCTGGATGCATTTTGGACTCCTTAAGCCGGGAGGATTTCATCGTTTCGTTTCAAAAAACTTTTCACAAAGCAGGCACATGGGGAGTTGTGGATTCGTGGGTGAAGGAATACGTCCATACCGAAGGTAGTGCACATTGTACTGTCGACACTTCTTTTTATTCTGAGCCATTGTCTGTTATGAATGTTCTGTACTGCTAGCGCCCACCATTAGCATCTCAGCGCCCCCTTCAGTGGCAAAAAACTTTCACCGCCCCCTTATGTAGTCTGAACGCCCACTGGGGGGCGCTACAGCCCCCGTTGAGAAACCCTGGTGTAGAGCATCCATCTTCAGTTGTGTCTGAAGGAAGTTTTCTTTATCAGAGAAACACTCATCTGTTAATAACCCTAACTATTCACTAGTGCTACTGATTGCTGATGTTAGATTTTACGTACAAATTAAAACTAGTCTTTAGTCAGAACACGTCTCTCTGTTTCTGATCACAGATTACACGCTAAACAGAAAAACGAGCTGCATTTATATAGCGATCTTTTTCTGTGTCATCCACGTAAGATCTGCAGAAACGGATGATCATGCTCCGACCCACATGAGAAAAGTCCCGATTCCCGAACTCAGAACTCACTCTGCAGGGAAGGAGGAGAGAGCTACAAGCTAACAGCTGCCGAGTCTCTCCTCTCCTCCGCGCTCGACTCCTACACAAAAGAACAATTTAACGTATAACACTAGAGCTAATATGTTAAGCAAACAAGCAGTTAATAGTTTCAGACAGTCTGTAAAGTTGGCAACAAGCATCTTGCTAGCGTTCTGTCGGTTACCATCATTTCTATTGGCTCGTTTTTCTTTCACTCAGCTAAGTATTTTTTCATATTTTACTTTTAATTCACACTAAATACACAGCTGTATGGTTTAGAAACACCAAAGATTTTTACTCAGAGGAAATTCCAGTCTGGTTTTGGTAAAAAGCGTTCAACAGAAACAGCTTTGCTTTAAGTCTCCAGTGAAGACATGATGGCTGCAGACAACGGGGAATTCACACTCTTAGTATTGTTAGATCTTTCTGCAGCTTTTGACCCTGTTGAACACAACACCTTAATTAGCAGACTTGGTGACTCAGCCGGTGGGGATCTCTGGAACTGTTCTAGACTGGTTTAGATCCTACCTTTCTAACAGAAGTTACAGTGTCTGTAGAAACCAAATGATGTCACATTCTACCGATCTGTTCTGTGGGGTACCCCAAGGCTCTGTTTTGGGTCCATTGTTGTTTCTTCTGTACATACACCCTCTTCATAATGTCTCTTATCACCTACTGTATATGCAGATGACATTCAGCTGTACTGCTCCTTTAAGGACTCTGAGTACAAACTGCCTGAATTACTAGAGTCTTTCAGCTCTCACCAGCTGGCTAAAAGATAACTTCCTTCAGTTAAACTCTGAAAAGACTGAATGTCTGATCATTGCCCCTGAAAGCATGGTTTACCTCATTAGTCAACAACTTGGTCATTTATCTTCTGCTATCAAGACGAACTTAAGGAATTTGGGTGTTTTTGACCAATCAATGTCTCTTGAAGGTCACTCAAAAACATCGGTCTGAAACTGTTTTTATCATTTAAGAAATATCTCCAACTGCGAAGGCTGGTGTCAAAACATGAACTTGAAATGGTTCTCCATGCCTTTATCTCCTCCCGTCTAGATTACTGTAACACACTCTTCAAGTTGTAACAAAAAGCCCTTGACCGCCTTCAGTTGGTCCAGAACTCTGCAGCAAGGCTTCTAACTGGAGCAAACAGAAGAGCACACATCACTCCTATTCTAATGTCTCTGCACTGGTTACCGTAACTTTAGAGTTCATTTTAGAATCCTGAGTAGAACTTTCAGGGCTCTACAAGCTCCTCCCTATATTACTGAACTGTTAAAGCCTTATGCTCCAACCCGAGCCCTCAGGTCCACACACCAGAACCTTCTAAAAGTTCCAAAGATCGGATATAAAAGTCGAGGTGATCGCTCCTTCCAGACTGTTGCACCCCGACCTTGGAATGATCTTCCTTTATCCTTTCGAAGCACTGGCAGTCTGGACACTTTTAAAAAACAGCTGAAGACCCTTTTATTTAAAGCTTCTCTTATCTAAATCTTTTATTTTCTGATTTTTAACTCAAATTTGTAATTATCATTCATCTGTTTATGAAAGTTTATAATTTTCTGACTTTATTTTTTCTGATGTTAATCTATTTCATTATTATTTTATGACTTTGTTTTATTTTGCTTTGATCAATGTGAAGCAATGTGTGATTCTATGTCTGTGATGAGTGCTATAGAAATAAAATCCACCTACTTACTAAAAATAATCCCGATGTTTTGGATCAGGGTCCTTATCCCAAGCAGCGGGCTGCCTGTGGAATTGCCTGCCTTCCTTCGACCGATGCTAAATAACGGCCCGATTAATCAGCCAAGTGATAAATTGGTCAGCCCCAATCCAAAGTTCTAATCCTGAATGAGGGGGTCAACGTGTCGGCATGAACAAGCCTCTGTGTGTCTGCCCCAACCAAGTGACCCGGTTTGAATACTAAGAGGCTGAGCACACAGATGCTGTTTTCAGATCATCACAAAAGAGTTCTGATCATCAGATCTGCACGCCCAGTTCTATTGGAGCTGTTCCGGTTGTGGTTCAGCTGGATCTTGCTGTTGAAATCTCTGGGAGCCATTTTAAGTTCTGATCCACATTGTCTGCAGGCTATACAGTGCTAAAGAACCAAGTCCTAGGGTCCAGGATGCCTAAAGTAGTGTTCCCCATTCAGCTGACACACTGACCCCACCACACACACACACACACGCGCGCGCACACGCACGCACGCGCACACACACACACACACACACACACACACACACACACACACACACACACACACACACACACACAAGCAGCAAGACCTGATCAGAACTGTGCTTAAACCTGGTGCAGTGGCACATGTAAGCCACATTGGGGCAGCATTAACACAGGTGTGTGTTATGAAAAGAAATATTCTGAAGTAATTAATTTACTTCACATGTTTCATGGGCACTTTTATTTCGTCTGATCCTTAGTTATTAACCTCTAATCATCACTGCTCAATGTTTTATTAGTTTGTTGAAGGTCAAAGGTCGTCATTATTCAAAAATATTTTTAATTTTGATCCACAGTCAAAAACAACCAACAGCGTCTCTAACAGATTTTAGATGCCAGATGTAGGATTACAGCTGAATCTATAACGCTCTCAAAAACACGGCTAGAACTCAGCGCCGTGAAAACGACGAACCTCCGCTGCGTGAGTTCAGGTTGGCAGCAGCAGCGACGCCTTGACTCGGCAACGCTCACCAACATGGTAACACTAACCGCGAGCATCTTCTAACGGCAGCCGACTCTGGACTTTGATTGGTTCTGCTCTCGTCTAGTCTTGCCTGTTCCATTTGCTTATTGGTTCTTTTGTCTGGCTCTCATCATTCCCGTTTTCTGATAGGGTTTTAGTTACTGCTAATTTTTTGTTGTCATCTTTAATTTGTGAGTGAAAATCTCAATATATAATTCTCATGATTTCAGATAAAAAGGTGATCGTTTTTAGTTTTGGCTTCATTTTCATCTGCAAAAACACCGGCTTCCTCACTGGAAGGTGGCCTTGAGCAGGTCTTTGAAGTACTCCCCGTTGAGATCAGCAGGTCGGTACTGCATCGCTTCCCTTTCCT